TCTTCATGAGACTAAGATTAGGCCTACTAAGATTACTAGAAAAAAGAACAGAGATTAGGAGGAAAAAAAACAACTGAAGCAGAAAGTAGCAATAACTGATCAATTGGTAGTGGGTAATCTTTATATATAAAATTAAAAGTGATCGTATTGGTTAATCATCAGTTACAGCGCGTTAACTTGATCCCCACTTAAATAGGATTTGGCTTTAACATGGTCATCATGGCGGTCCCGGCGATCCTGTTATATTTATATGTTATAGTTATATAGTTAGTTATAATCGGGGACCACTGCAACTTTTCTGTCAAGGGCCCAAATTAGTAAGCATATCACCATCACACAAAAATAATGAACAGGCTTCCGTAATTTCAAGTCAGTGGGTAGTTGAAAGGCTGCAATGGTAAGGTTAAGTGTCGAGTTTCTTTACAATAGCTCTTTAATGTTATCATTTATCTTGGTTTTTGTCCAGTACTCAAAGGCTGTAGTGTGATCATGTCTATGTGGTTTTTAAGCACAGCTTGCACACTCTGGAAAGCCCTTTGCAGAGCCCACTGCATGATTTTAAAGTTGTACTAGGTCAACTTTTGAATTCTTCAACCATGTAGCCAACTACATTGTAGGCCTTATAATATACACTAGTAGTAGTAAAAATAACAGCATTGCCCTCATGTGTCTTATAATGTACATGTACTAATATACCCAGCGCACACTGCCAATCAGATTTGTTCGAATCGTACCAGGGCCAGCTAGATTTTCCTCCATGGGATGGAATGGAGGGGGGTGTGTGTACCATTTTAGCACAATAATTCGACCGGCGACCTCGAAAAACACAGTCACAGTCGAATTTAGTGGAATTGTACTAAAATGGTAACTTTTGCCCCATCTAATCTATGAAGGAAAACTGGCTGGCTCACAGACTCAAATTCAATTAATGTGATTGACATTGTACCCATGTAAGCTGTTTCATTGTGTCAATGAGGGCATAAAAGCGTAGACAATTTTTAAAAAATTAATAATCTAGGACACTCATCAAAAGATTTTTAATATATAGTCACACAAAAATAATGAATGGACTTCCGTAATTTCAAGTCAGTGGGTAGTTGAAAGGCTGCAATGGTAAGGCCACTGTTAAGTGACAAGTTTCTTTACAATAGCTTCTAGTTAGGTGGATACTTTTTCAATTGCTTCCTTGCTTTTATGTATAGAATGGTGGCAAAAATTGTCAAGAGGCAAAGTTAAAGGCCTGTTAGTATACACATAAAGTTAGAATTGACAGTTTTGAGATAAATTTTTGGTCTTCTGCCAATAATGAGACTGGTTTGCCAAATGAATGCAACTGTCAAGGTCAAACTAAAGGTGGTTGGCATTTCCCTACCTATAGGAGAAGTTTGGTTTCATTGGTGTGTATACATTTTTGTTCGGTTTTGTAGAGAAAACTCTTCTTGTCTTTTAAAGAAACTGAAGAAGGGTAAAAAATCTTTACCTTCGATTTTCTCAAAACAGCATGTATGCAAAACTGTCCACACAAGGAAAATCCCACAATGAGGAAACTGACTTACAGTACACTGATTCATTACATCATGACGCCGTGATATAAATGAAATAAAAATTTTAAAAACTTACAATTACAAGTGCAGCACACACTTAACACTTCACTACAGAAATATATTACGGTATTATAATATAACATTATGCCAAGCATGGGGAAATAAACGAAATGACAATTTTGCAACTACTGTCCACACACTAACAAAAGAAGGCATGATGCAATCATAGTAGTAATATACTAATAATACATTTTTTCAGTGATCTTCAAATTTCAAAATACAGCAAGAAAAGGAGTCACTTTCAAGTCATTCAACTAATTTTGATACGCTGATTGCAAATCTGATATTTTTACAATAAGACGTAATTTTCTATAAAAGTTCTTTAACGAAAATTTTATCAATAGCAGGCAGCATGTTGTGCGACTCGAGCAAATGGTCGCTTTTAGATTTAAGGACAAGTGGGCTAACCCGAATTTCAGGGGTTTGCAGAAATCTTGACTTACACCAAAAGTGGGCATTGCCTTACCTATAGCAGAAGTTTGGTTTCATTGGTGTGTATATTTGTTTGGTTTTATAGAGAAAACTCTTCTTGTTTTCTAAAGAAACTGAACAAGGGTCAAAAAACTTTATCTTCGATTGTCTCAAAACAGCATTTTTCGGGATAGTAAAAAAAGCAACCAAATATCAGGCACCACCTATTTTCTTGGCATGTGGACAGACTGCGAAACTAACTGATGATGTCAGCTAATTTTCTCATTACACGGGGGGTGAGGATCAACTGAAGCCAAAAACTGCCAGTTCTAACTGAACGTCTAAAAGGCCCTTTAGTTTGAATGATGTATGAAATAAATGGGTAAATTCATTTCTACATGCTATATATTATATTACCCTTTCAAGGACTACAAACAATCAATTATAATAATACAAGTTTTACAAGGCTACACCAAGATGAAGCGGGACGGATTTTTGATGTTGAACTTGCAAACAAAAACTAACTGCGCCATCCCTCCTTTCCAAACAAAAATAAATTAAAAAAGTCATGTCATGTTTAAACGATTGCAGCTTCACTCTCAACAACTGGAGAGTCATTTTGACTGATCTTTGTCTTAGAAAGGGACATTAAAAAAGCCCCACATAAACCATTTCTTAGATTTAGATCTCTATTATAAAAACCCACCATGGTGAGGTATTACAGGCTATATATATATATATATGTGTACAGTAGTCTCCGCCCAAGATCCCAAAGCTTAACTAGCGTTTCACTAAAGACCCCGCTGTTTTAAGAAAACATAAATTTTACTACACAAAAGTCACCCCTAAGATCCCGCTATGAAGGTCTACATTTGGCCTAAGAAGATCTCACATTTCAGACCATAATTTGCAGAACAAAAACCTGAGTGTGCACAAAAGAGCAACTGGATAAGCATAGGCAAGACTCACAATAGGATAATAAGTGAAATTGGCGTGTCGCATGCCACTGTGAATGGTCATCACGGCTGACCACTCTTTGCTCGCCATAAGTTATACACCCACCCAGTGTTCATGTCAATTAATTTTAGAGCAAGGGGAGACCATTTCACCGGTTGTGGACCTGAACATGGGTCACCATAGATTCTTCCTTTGGTGCGTCGACTAAGAACCCATTCGCCTAAGATCCCTTGCCCCCGAACACCGAGATCTTAGGTGAAGACCACTGTAATTTAGTGTAAAAGTACAGCAGCATTTTACTAGCTTGAACCAAGCTTACTGCTCTCCCTGGATGAATAATCCACACACACAAACAATGTTTTCAACAAAAGTTTCAGGTAACACTGACACCACTAATCCCAAACTCAGACAAGTAGCTGGACAAGAACTAAAAACCAACGAGGGGGGAGGAGGGGGGAGGAGGGGGGGGAATAACAGTTCATGAAGGACATTCCCAAGTCATTGGCAGAATTTAAAAAATAATGACACATTAGCAATAAACTTCAGTTTGCACATAATTTTAAAATTTGTACCGGTATTCTCAGAACACACTCAGTTAAAATGCCACTTTATTGAACTCATTAAGAAATTTGTTTTACAATGGCATAAAAAAAATAGGTATACAACTTTGATACAAATTTATGAAGAATACACAATCATAGTCAATGAACACACCATTGCTGGTCACCACGATGCAGCACTCTGTTTTTGAGCAAGGATTTCCGTGCCTTGCTTTAGGACACATCCCGGTGACCACACAGCAAAACACAACCACGATAAACCTCTGGCAGGCAATACAATGACAATGTATCATCTGATCAAAATGATGCACAAATAAAATTTATTGGGTCACATCATAATCATACAAACATTTCAGTGTAAGCATATGTCACGACACAGTATTAAGCACCTGTCAATTTTAGGGCATATGGAGTCACTGGTATTATCTTACTTAAAGTTTGTTTGTTTGTTTTGGTTTTGATGAAAAAAATACACAGCTATCTTGAATAGAAGTCAAAATGTATGCTATTGAAGAAGGTGGGGGTCACCTGGTGTCAGAGGTAAAATAAGCTAGAAAATGGCTGCCAAAGTTTGGTGACTTTCAAAGCTCGAGTGTCCTAGAAAACTGCAGTGGAACTCGGATTCAAAGAGCTCGGATTCAACGAGAACTCGGATTCAACGAGATGAGATAGAGTCCCCGATTTTTTTCTTCTTTAAGATCAATAAAAAGAACCCGGATTCAACGAGCACTTAAATCAGAGACCTCGGATTCAACGAGGTCGCTTCCAGGGTGAACAGTCCCCAAAGTCGTGGTTTCGCTCATTTTTCTCCCAGAACGAACTTTATCTATTCCCGGAAACCATCCATTGCACCTGTATCATTAACCATTATTCACTTAGCCGATTGCTTGTGACTAATCAGTGGCCATTTTAAATACCAACACATGCGTTGTTGGCATGCGCACGTGTCTACTCTGGTGTGGGTCGGGGTCGGATGGGTGGCCTGCACACATGTGGCTGTGTGTGCATGTTGGGGAGGAGGACACCAGCGGTCCGGGCATTGAACGTCGTATATATATATATACAAACGCGACAAACGGGTCACAGTCTTTTTTCCCCCTCGGCAACTGATCGTTATTACAATGATAACCTAGTCTTGACGTAGATCTACGTAATGAATTGTGCGCTGGTCTATGGAATCAAAAGTTGCTGTATGCTAGGCTCTGCACAGCAACACAACTTTTTGGTAAACAATCGAGATGACACAGGCGTGTGCATTTGAACGAACCAGTCTTTTCTTTATACACAGCTCATAATATGCGGGCATTTCAGGCACTACTTGTGACTTCTCTTTAAACATTACTTGCTCAGTGCCTGTAATTATCTACACAAAACCTCGTGTTTGCTATAACGAACACTCAGATTGAACGAGATTTTAGGTCAGGCTCGGCGACCTTGTTGAATCCGAGTTCCACTGTACAAGATTACATTTTTTTTCTGATTTTGCTCAACATTTTTTTTTAGAACTGTGTTTTAAAAGGAAATGAAAAGATAGTGACCCTATAAAATAGTATGATAAGTATAAGAAATTTGATAAGAATTGCCCAAAGGGAGGAAAAATGTTTTTTTAAAAATTTCAGTATATTGACGAGTGCCTGGTTTCACCGCAAGGCAACATATCTCTCTATCTTGCCTCTGAGCATGTAACTGGAAAATTTTATCCTCACAGCATGTCTAGACGTTTCCAATATGTAGACCTACAATTCTGTATGACGACAACAGTTATGAGCGCCAGCAGACACATTTATAAATCACAACTGATGAAAACTGAAGCCTGACAAAGTAGCCTATTGTAAGCCTGAAATACAATGGGGATTTAGACTTACCTTACACTCAGTACCAGTAAAGTTGTAAAGATTACATATGAAAATTGGCGTTTGAAGGTAACCGCACTGTTGTTTTCAGGTGACATCTTGAAAAGTGCAAGAATAGCAGCAAAATTGTTACATTTCATCATTCAAAAAATTGTATAAATCATACATAAAACAAAAACCTTTTGCTTGAGCTGTTACTGCAGCATATTAACAACATATTTATGTAACAGATAAATATGTTTTCCATGAGGAGGACAAAACAATACAGCATCAAGCATTGTAAAATTTTCAGGCTTCTGATACTGTCTCTGAAACACGAATACTACAAAAGTAATTTTTAGATACAGGAGTGATTTCTTTGGCAAGAGACACAGGGGCATAAAATAATGCACAAATTGTTGAATCCAACTTACAGAAAAAGATTTCATTTTTTTGACATTTCAAAGTTCGTTGAGGCTAAAAACTCTCGGATACTCGCATTCACATTGACTGGATCATCCATCTGCACAAAGTGGCCAGCCTTTTCTATCTTCGTCAGCGTTGCCTCTGGGACCGCCAGAAGCGTGTCTTTCAACACATCCATGGTGAGAAATTTGTCCTGGCAACCCCAAATAATGCGAAGTGGCATGGGGTACTTGAGGTCATGCTGAGCCACAGGTGGGTAAAAGTTGGCCCTGTAGTAGTTGATGGCCGATGTCATAGCGCCTGAGGGTGGAGGGAAATAAGAAGGATACAGATACAGACAGATTTATATATTTGTTTTTGTAAGAGTTTTACGGCACTTGCAACACAATAAGGTCATATAAATATAAGTGCCGAAGATTAGAGGTGTTACAAGTGAGTAACAAACACACACAAAAAAAAGAGGAGAGATCAGGACGATAGATGTTTGATAGGAAAGAAGGAGCAAACCACACCAGAGCATCTGCCAACCACCCACACAGATACATGGATAGATAGATAGATAGATAGATAGATAGATAGATAGATAGATAGATAGATAGATAGATAGATAGATAGATGGATGGATGGATGGCGGGATGGATGGACGGACAGACGAACAGACAGATAGACAGACAGGCAGGCATATAATATAATATACCTAGTCTAGCAAGCACAGAGTAAACATGCACTTAGCGAAAACACGCACATAATGTATTTCGTTTGTGTTTAAAATATGCAACATAACAAAATTCATATATAACAACAAGTTTTTGTTTCCCACCGATATTATAGCTATGTGCATGCTGGACAGTATAGACAACCACAAAACAGCACACCAAGTACTGTAGAACATTGCAATAGCGGGACTTTTACTTTTAGTTCCAGAAGAAAAATCCTGCTGTAGGCAAGTTCCTGCTATACGAATGCAAAGGGGAATTACCGAAAAATCACACACTACATGCTCTCCTCTTCTTTTACTGTCTTTTTGGCCTAGCCTAGGGCTCAGAGACAGTAAATACCGATATGGTGCAATCCTTCTTCGGCCTTTGTGCATTGTCAGAGAATCGAGTTCAGTGACGGGTGCACGTTGCTCTGCGTAGCTATGAGCTCCCACAACACACCCAGTGTTACTATAACATGCGCTGAGCGGTGACTTGTTGGCCCCATAGTATTTTATATAAATTCATAAAGATACTTTAAAAAAATCTAGCCTCAATTGTTGAGGAAAAATATGAATAAGTTAAGAAAAATTGATACAAACTGCTGTCAAAGTTTAATTTACAATGATTCACCCGTTAAGAGATATTTGAGGATAAGTTGGGCCACGAATTTATGACAGCACTGTAAAGATCATCGTGCAGTCTGACATTAACAAATGCACTGACTCATAGTCCACCGTCTGGCATTAGCAGGAACCTTTGATTTCAATTTTGTTTGGCTCAAGGAGCATTTTCAACGTTAGATTCTGTCTACTGTACGCTCTGTTCATCAAAGGCTTAAAATGTGTGGGAGCTTATTTTAAACAGCTTCAAACAAACCAACAACTTCCACAAGTTTTAAACTAGGCTTGTTAAACTGTTTCTGGCTGATGAGGATCAGGTGCCTTGCATGGGAAGATGAGGAATCTTCTAATATATCCCTGTGCAAACCATGCAGACTACATTGTAAAGTTTCATCAAAGTGTATCCATTTACGTTGGAAATTGCATTTTTCTAAGTGCATTGCATCTTTAATATTGCAAAATTTAACTAAATTAGCAACGTGCCTGGATTGTTATCAAGGTCTGCCGGATTTGCAACTGTTGTTTGACTGTTTTTACTCTTTAGATATATCAAATATCTATCCACATCATTCCTGCAATTGCTTGAAGGCGATGCAATCATAATTTTGTCAACCATTATCTGTCTCTTCAAATGAAAATGGAATTGTTGGGGACCTGGATTGTCAAGATGTCCACCTTTTCCTCTGATGACTGAGAACAGTTCGAGTGCATCTTGATTGCACTGTAAGTAACCCTCCATTGCTACATTGACAATATCTGCCACAAGACCTCGCAAAGCAGTGATGTGGTGGATGCACTCACTGACTCATGGTAACGTTTTTGGAACTTTCTTTTTGTCTTCTGGGCCAAACTTCATATCTTTCAATCACAGACGTGTCTGCTGCAAACTTTCATGGTGCTGTGATGTAGTTACGATATTCAACAGAGAATGACACAAGTGACCAATTGAAAACATTGAGAAGATCATCAAAGTCATTACAAAAATCAGATACAGCTATTTCTGACAAAGGATTATTTCCGAGATTACATAGTGTCCCAGTTGCTTTTGATACACTGCAACTTAGCACGTGCACAGCCAAACAAACCCTTTGTCGTCCAAAACTTGACACAGAGTTGATTAACTTGGGTGTCACCCTGAACCTAAGGGACTGTTTTTTTATAAATACATTTTCAATAACTAGACAGCTGGCAGTATATGATAGTACTATCATGATGAGTAGGCTTATAGAAATTGTGGTAGACCAAATTGTTTCTAATACTGTGAATTAAGTATGGAGGACCAAAGAGGACTGTGATATTATCACCCTCATGAAGAAAAAAAAAAGCTTTTCAGGGGCAATACTTAGTTTTTAAAACATTCTGGTTGTTTGGGCCTTGGTCAAATACGAGCCTTCACCTTAAAAACCAACATATTATTATCATTTACAGCTTTTTAATGGCCTCTCACAATGGAACAACGGGCCGCACTACCAGCACCAGGTGCGCGCTGATAAGGATGCAGGTCCGCCGTTGACCGTCGGTTGATGCGCCGCCCACTCCCTCAGCGTATTTGTGCCTGCACACACTTTTTGCCGCATTGCATTATCATGGTATTTATAGTCATTGCTAGGGCTATGGCACATCACTTTTGGAGTGGCTCACACAACACGTCTCTCCGCACCATCTCTCTCTGCCACCTGCCCCACCTCACTTATCACTGGACTGCCCATTTACAAAGCCGCACAGCTGACTGCCTGTTTGGATCCCGCCTACAGCCCCCCCACCCCCCATCCTCACGCTAGAGCTTGATCTCTCCCGCTGTGTATCGAAGTTCAGGCCTTTCCTTGCCCCGTTAAGCCAAAGCACAGTTAATTGAGTTTACATAGACAAAAAAACGGATTCCGGTACCCCTGGGGCAGTGCAACTGACCGTAGTGTCTTTAGGCCATTCCCAAAGGGGGGGCATTTCTCTTTCAAGTTCAAGCATAGAAGAATTGTAAATGGGCTGACTCATGTCACTCTCATAACTGTGCCTGACCTACAACAGGGAACTGCTGCTTTTTCTTTCCTGATCCTTACTATTGTCATTTTCCTCTACTTCCCGGGTAGCTGAGAATGTTTCGGAGTGTTCTATGGTCTGCTGGGGTAATAATATAGTGTAAAGCGCATAGAGCTTGCTGTCGAGCGGGGTTGTGCGCTATACAAATGCTATCTATTATCTATTATTATTATTACTTCTTTTGTATGTTTGTCACTCTCTTGTGATCTGCTATTTTGGGGTGCCTTGATAGTCGAAGCAGACCTTGTGCTGTTGAAGCTAGAGAGGAGAGCAGTCTAAGTCTGATTCCCCGTAAAGACTTCTCTGTTGACACCCACCCCTTGGCGCTCATATGACCTTATGCAGTTGTGTGCGCCGTAAATCCCTCTACTATAACCAAAAAAAAAAGGGATTCCGGTAAGGTCCCGATGTAGGGATGATCCTGCTGCAGCGGGTGCCGCTAGAGTCATGTTCTACTGTACCTCTCTAGGAAAGTGTGGCCACTTATGTGAAACTAGAATATCAATTATAATTATCCCACTGCCTACAGTCAATACCATCATTACAACAACCCTGAAATAAACATTTTAATAAAACTGTCTTTCACGAATAGAAGTACAAATAGTAAAAAAAAAAGCGTAGGGAAAAGAGTTATGATTCTGCATTTACAGTGCAGATTATTTTTAGTATTATTATTATCATCATTATTATTATTATTACTATTACTATTATTAATGTTATTATCATTATTACTATTATAATAATTATTATCTTTTATATTATCATCTAATCTCAGCTAAAAAGTGTTTTTTTAAAGTTATGCATGTTCAAAACTGGTGAGCTTCACAGTATAATTATAATACTGCATGTATTGCTCAAAGTCGACGCTGTGCAGGATTATTCTTTAGGAATAATGCATATTTATGAAAATAAATTATCATAATTTGCATTCTTCAAAGTACGGTTGTATTACCAGATTTCCTGAAGTAGTATTTGTAACATTCAACTTCATCATCCGTCATCTTTGATAGTAAAAGTCCCGAGGTTGGACCCTGGAAGGCTTGATTCAGAGAAATTGCATCCTCCAAGAGCATGAACAACTCCGGCAAGAATGGCAGTTGAAAGCTATAAATGTACCTGAGAGGAGATAAAAGCTCAAATCAATATACATCACCTCTTATCTAATGGAATTATAGTTAAGTTCACAACATTTATCAAAGTATCAGACTTGGAATAATCAGGTTGTGGGATCAATTCCATGCCCTGTTGTTGGGAATTGTTGTATGTTTGAGGAATGTACAGCAGTCTCTGCTTAAATGCACGATGCTTGGAAGAGCTCCTCTGTGTGTATTTACACGGAGTATGCGTTTTCGAGAACCTGTGCAAAGGGTGAAAGGGACACAACCATCTCATTTCCTTGATATTTTAGTGAACTTCCATGTGTGTGTGTGGAAGAGGGGGGGGGGGGGGAGATGCTGCTGATAATGCTATGAAATGTGACTATTATATAAAAAGCGTTGAATGAATGGCGGAAAAAAAGCAGAAAGACCAACTCATTGTACTCATATGCACTAAAATGTTGGGAACAGAAAAGGGGAAATTGTCAGTGTTCGTGTCATATAAGGAAGAGCGGTAGCCATGCGACTTCCCAAGCAACCACTCCTGACTACCTGTCATGCATTGCAACTCTGTAATGCATGGATGACATAGAACAATCTAAGAGACTTTCCTCAAGCGATTCGATGAACAAGTACGTTTAAAATTCTTCAAGCACTGCTAATCACTGGACTAATCTTTAATCCTATACAAGTAAGCCTTTCTAGTAAATTTAGTGTACTACAGCATTCATGCATGTTGTGAATCATCATATTCATAGGTAGGCCTAACTAAAGATTACAGTCACGCAAACACCAGAGAGAAACCTTCTCTGGAAGATGCATTTCGAGTGACCAATCAAGAAATTTTAGAGGATGTGACTGCGTTTATATCTAAATTATTATATTGTAAAAAACCTGTCATATGATGAATGCTTGCATTTTGAGTGGAGCATGCCTTTGTATGCTGTGCATTTAGATGAAGCCTACTGTACAGGGTTGGTGATTTTTTTGATTTTTTTCATAAAAATAAAAAAAATCGATTTTTTTGATTTAAATCATGATTTTTAAAATTTAAATCAGATTTTTTTGATTTTTTTAAAAATGTCGACACAGTTTGGGATTTTTGGTTGCTAAAAGTATGTTCTTTTAGTGCAAAATGCATTGTCTTTATTTTAACAAATGATTAAATTAAGCAACCTCAAAAGAAAGCCTTAATCTGCTATATCAATGAATTACGGCTACACAGACAAAAAATGAAGAAAATGTCAGTCTAAAAGGAAGGGGTGGGGGGGTGGGGGTAATTATGCATAGATAAACTTGCATTTTATTACAGTGTGTGTGTGTGCGCGCGCTTGTGTTTGTCTAAAAAGAAAAAGAAAATGTTAATTTCAATAATGAAAAAAAAGTAAATTGAATGCTGTATTATTTTACAGTGACAGGGGGGAAAGCAGACTTTTAAGCATGATTTTATTAGTCTACTAAACCTTATATACTGTTTTATAAAACCAAGGAAAGGAATTCTGAATGTTCAAATATGTAAAAACTGAATACATTTGTTAAAAAGTGATTTAAATCACTGATTTTTATTTTAAAAATCAAGTTGATTGAAATATAAAAAAAATCAACTGATTTAAATCAACCCAGCTCTGATTTCATGGAAAAAAAAGTAAATTGAATACTGTATTATTTTACAGTGAAAGGTGGGAAAGCAGACTTTTAAACATGATTATATTCGTCTACTTAACCTTATATCTGTTTTATGAAATCAAGGAAGGGAATTCTGAATGTTGAAATATGTAAAAACTGAATAAAAATAAATTTTTAAAAAAGTGATTTAGATCACTGATTTTTATCAAAAAAATCAAGTTGATTTAAATTTAAAAAATCAACAGATTTAAATCAACCCAACCCTGCTACTGTACCCCACCTTACTTAAAACTCACACAATTTACCTCAAGTGCTTTCTAAAGGCTGCATTTGTGTAGCACATTATCTATACACGGTAGGCCTACTTGCTCTATAATCGATTTCATGAATATTTATAAGTTATCGTTTCTACTCAACATTTGAACATGTGTGTGTGAGTGTGTGTGTATGTGTCTGTGTGTGCGTGTGTGTAATCTGCAGCTTGCACTGTATGTCTCTAGGAAAACTGAGAATGTTTCTGAGTGTTCTTGCAGGGTCTGCTGGAGTAATAACAGTTATAAAGCACATAGAGCATGTGGCAGAGTGTGGACAGGCGTTATATAGGCAATTAGTATAATAATTATCATTATTATTAGACCTCAGTTTTTCTGCTTGGATGTTGTATCCCTCTCAACAGGCAGGTTGAAGCCCCATTCCTAACCTCCTAAATAATTGGTGGGGGTGGAAAAGACATAGACAGTTATTGTTGTTGTTGTTATCGATCCAGAGACAGTTATAAAAAAAAAATCTAGGCCTGCTTTACTGAGAATAAAAGCTCTAAAGAAGAACATTTCAGAAAATGTTACAAATTATGTAAAGCTTATTAAACAAGATTAACATACAATCTATAATAATAAGAGCTGAACTTTTTGAAACGTCAGAGAAAATTATAAATGAGAGTGAAACATGAGATGTAACCCTAATCAAATATTTTTAAAGTCAGAGACTTCAACTGAAACATAAGAGGATCCTTTTTGTTTCCAAAGAAAAAAACTATTTTGAAAATTTAAACGACTAAATACAGCCATGATAGGCCTACTTCTTTAAAAAAATAAAAATAGATGGTTTCAATTATCAACACAGACCCTTAATCCAAAGGAGATGAAAGCTGAGCAGCATAAATTAACTTTCGACAAAAATGAAAGCACACTATTTAGTGCTTTTAATTTAGTCTAGCAGCTAGCAACTGTAAGCAATGGCAGGTCATTGCACATCAACTTCTGAGCCAGAGATGACACCCCCAGGAAAAGACATTCAGTCCTGGAACTTACCATGAATGCAAAAACTGCACAGGCTTACTGATGGAGCTGAAACCTTGATGCCAGATGGGTACTGGTGGGATGTTCATCACAACCAACCGGTCAACAATCTGTGGGTGACGAGCAGCAAATGCCCAGGAGACAGCACCACCCCAGTCATGGGACACCACCACACATGATTTGTAGCCTGGGGGATGTGGATGATAACATGATGAAGTTATAGCTAGCATAATAGGTTTTGGTTTTCCCAATACTCCTAGCATAGATGATTCAGCAAAGACTTAACCATTGTAAAGTAGGAATTGATTTATACATTATAACAACAGAAAGTAGGAACATTATTATGTCTTTGCAGTAGCACATTTTTCTTGTGTGAGAGAGAGAGAGAGAGAGAGAGAGAGAGAGAGGGGGGGGGAGAGAGAGGGGGGAGGGGGAGAGAGATAGAGAGAGAGAGAGAGAGAGAGGGGGGGGAGAGAGAGAGAGAGAGAGATGGAGAGAGAGAGAGAGAGAGAGAGAGAGAGAGAGAGAGAGAGAGAGAGAGAGAGAGAGAGAGAGAGAGAAAGAGAGAGATTATACTGCATGTTCTATATGCACAACACTGATATTTTCAGGCAAAAAAATGCAGTCTGCGGACACTGGATCCTAACCAAAGAGAAAAGAAGGACATAAAAAAGCCTGAATTACTCTTGTCAACGTGAGATGACTCTACATGAACAAATTACACAACAGAAAGTAGGAACAGAAAATTTAGTTTGGTAGCTAGCCAAGAGACAAGGTCTGCTCAAGCGATTCCAACATTTTCTCACTAGCTTATTTCAGTGTTTCCACTGTTTTTCGTTGCTGTTTGAGGACATAATAGGGAAAATGTCAAGAGTTTGTCCATATTCTGACTCTGGATTTGCATTAGTTATGCTATTGGTTAACATAAAGGACATTACCTACCACTGGAGTATAGAATATTCAATTAAGAGGTAGAAATTTATAATTTTCCTCAGCATGCATTTATCTTTATCTTTCGTTAACGTCCATGGCAGACATTTTTTTAAAAACCAAATGTTTATACCACTGACATGCAACATTTGGTTTGACCTTGTTCCATATTATAAAGTTAATAAAGAGGTCAGAGTCAGATCTGTATTTAATGTCCATCTCTGACAAGGGAAAGCTCTTAATATAAGATCTGAGCTCAAGAATATCATGCTGAGGACTCAAACTGTACACCTTCCCAAACATGGCTTTGTGACATTGTATAGAAACATTTCAGACACATTGAAAAATAAAGAAAAGAGAATTTCCTGACTATTACCCAGAGCATCAACAAAAAGTCTTAGATCCTCCACAAGGCAATCTATCCTGTAGTTCTGAATTCCTTTCGGCTTGTCAGTGTCACCAAATCCTCTCATATCCAGTGCAACTACCCTGTTCAGGTAAAAAAGAAAATATATATTTAGTATGAAAGGAAGGTTACACTGACTGAGCACATTGAACAGATTGTCAGAGAAAATGTCAGGTAGACCGATACAAGATAGTACCGGTATATCAATCCATTTAATAGATTAGTTTTGCACCCACACTATTTAGAGACCAGGTGCTCCTGATTCTCTGGGTTTTCTGCCTTTTTTGGAGTCAGTTACTAGTGGAGAGGAGCTCTAGCATGATAGGTACAAGAGTGCAGAAATTTAGTTCTTGGAAAAATCTTTTTATCTTAATCTGGGAAGCACAAAGCTGTCTACAAGATCATAAATAAAGTAAAAAAATGTATAATAAAATAAACTTTTAAAAGTTTTTTTTGTTTCTGGAAACTTTTTTTTTTCAGGTTTTAAAGGAACTACATTAATACCCTATTCCAATTATCCAATCAAAACTAAAATCTAGATCATTCAAAGAAATGCAGCACCCTAGATGAGATCTGCATTATAATACGTTATATTTGGCACTAGGACATCTTGTAACAGGAAAAGAAAAAGCTACAAAAGCATTCTCTGCAACTCATCCATGCAGTTGAAAAAAAAAAGAATACTTAGGTATATATTCAAATTGACATTTTGCAACATGTACAGTATGTTCCCCTACAAGACTAAACAATCATTTAAAAAGTCAGCGTTTTGAATTTAAAAACACCCTTGCAGGTGTTAGATTGTCCCATATTTTTCAAATCAAGAAAATATGTGATCACCAAGATCTACAGAAAACAGAAAAGATGTCTCTGAATTCATAAATTATTAAATAATGTGATCTGTGCTATCTTTTTAACGAGAAATTTGAGAGTGCAGTGTCTCAATGGCCTCAAAGAACTGATTCCAGAGAACCTGTGATTCTTCCTCGCCAGGCTAGGTAAAGTAAGCCTATATCATACTGTCAGTACAAGATACTTTGATAAACACAAAAAAGGGACCCCATAAACAAAACAAAAAAATGTATCTTTTAGGCAACTATGAAGTGGAAAGGTGGTAAGGGCAAACCTGAAGTCCTTTTGGAATTCTTTGATTTGATTTCGCCAAGAGAACCAAATCTCTGGAAAGCCATGAACCATCAGCATTAACGGAGCATTTTCTGGACCACTGATCACATAGTGTATTTTAATGGGCTGTGGAAAGAATAATATCAAAGTAGTTTAATAATAGCATCATTATCATAAGGTAGGCAGGTCAACAATTGCATAGGCCTAGCGGTGTCATAAATGATTTGTGAATCTTGTGTTGATAAAACAATTTGTTTAACACCTCACCAACCCCAATAGGAATTATAGCAGAGCATGCTAAACTCCAACATCAGCAGCGTTTAAAAAATATACCTATTTCTCATAAACTCAACCAATAATATGGGCAAACTCTTACACTATGGGTGTGATATAGCAACAGAACAATTACTTGCCCCTTCCAGGATTTTTCCTAGTAGATTGTATTAAAGATGGCTCCTCCACAGCATGACATGAAACTGTATTCTAAATCAGACTGTGGCACTTTCATGTAACATAAACAATACTGATTTATTATGGATCAAAGCAAGACATTAACCTTAAAGAAGTTTCATAAACTAAAATATAAAAACAATACATTCATCAGTCTAACTACCTTAATTAATTTTAGTTTTAGTAGTAAGAGTTTTACTGCATTTGCAACACAATAAGTTCATATTCTAAGTGCCGAAGATTAGAGTTATAGAGGCGTTACAAGAGTGTGATAAACACAAAAAAGAGGAGAGATAAGGACAATAATTGATGTTTGATAGTCTAATTACATACCCCAACATTCATGTAAGCATGTTCACCATAGACAGAGTTGAACAACTCAGATGGGGGATTGCCTGGGTCCCTTCTTTCCAACAGCTTTCGGGGACCAACTTTGAACAAGGTGTAAAGTGTTCGTAATGCAAGCAGACTAGCCCAAAAAAGACCCACAAACAAAATAAATAGACGCTTTCCTAAATTGTCCATAATTCTGAACTGATGAGCAGTGTGATGTCAAATGCTATCTGTAAAAGAAAGAAGGAAAAAAGAGCATTAAAGTTAAATGGGGTGGGGGGGGGGGGGGTGTTAATTGATTTAGAGATCCAAGGTGTGGGAAAAATGAACAACAACAGGAATGTTGAAGAAAACATCAGGAAACAATGACAACTAGTAAGAGTATGGTATGATATATAAATAAGTAATGCAAGCATAATAATAATACATGTACTATCAGAGAAGATTTTAAATACAAATGCAAAACACAGGGCCAAAATCAATGCATGCAAAGAGAGTTGGTTACGGCACTCCTACAAAATAAAGTTACAGTATCACTTAAGCACTAAAAATTATTTTTTCTTCATCAGCAATCTTTTGTTAAAGTTAAAATCTAAGAAAAATGCATGCTCTTACTGTGAGAACCTGCTCTAATGGCCACCTGCCCAAGACAATCAACTGTTCAAATGGCCACTTCCCACTTTCCCCCTTGTGTATTCTATTCAGTGGAACTCTGATTCAGAGAAGTTGTCGGGCCTCGTTGAATGCGAGAGTTCGTTTTGGCAAACATGAGATTTTTGTGTAGGTAATTATAAATAGGCACCAAGCAAGTAATTTATAATATTATATATAAAGCATACGACTTCCTCATTCAAAAGTATTTTGGTTTCAAATGAGAGGCACTTTCATTTCTGTGATGCCATACTGCAAAAAAGCTAGAGAATTCCAGTAAAATACACTGAATTCTACAGAGCACACACTGCAAAAAGGCTGATTCGTTCAAATGCATGCCTGTGTCATCTATCATCTATAATGTATTGTTTGCAGGACAAATTATATTTCTGTGTAAAGCCTAGCATACCGTAACATTTGATTCCACAGTCCTGCATGCAATTCAGTACATAGATATTATAGATCTATGTCAAGACTAGACTATCAAGTACTATTGATCAGTAGCCAGGGGAAAAAATAACTGTGAGGCGTTTATATCTCTCTACTGACATTCCATTACTGGGCCCCTTGTGCCCCCTCCCCTGAGACACACATACACACAGTCACAGGTGTGCTGGCCACCCATCCGACCCCGACACATGTTAAGACATTATGCATGATAACAACGTGAGTGTAGGTGTGAAATTTTTTTTGGGGGTAAGTGTTTTACGGCGCTCACAACTGCATAAGGTCACATGAGTGTGAGGGACACTAAACATTTTCAATAGGTAGGAAATTTCGAATTTTGCCCAGGTGGCGGCCGAAGCCTACTCTTTCTTATCAATTTTAAACCACCAAGGGATCTTTAACGAGCGCAATTTGCACACGGGACCTCCAAGATTTTTCCCCCTTGTTCAAGAAGGCTAGGTGTAGATCTTTCCTACCACAGAAGATTAGGGGTGTGGCAGAAAGACAATAGTAAGGAGGAGCCAAGGAGAAACAGTAGAAAGGCTGCAGAAAGAATCGGGAGCCCAGAGGAGGGGGCAAAGGAGGTGAGGGGTGGGGGCAAAAAGCGGAAATGAAAGCAGACGACAGAATATTGCTAGAGAGCAGGAAAGGAGGTGAAAGGAGACAATTTTAGAGAAGAAAAATTTTCAGTCGCTACCTGGATTCGAATGCGGGACCTTTGAATGAGAGGTAAACACCTTAATTAATTAACCTCTAGGCCACGAGAGCCCCCTTGGTATGAAAGAAGGCCATCGATTGCTCGCGCAAAGATACGATGAGATAAACGAATAAAGGGTCATGACGCAGGTGCCATGGATGGGTTCCAGGAACAGGCAATGTTCGTTGATGGAGAAAAATAAGCGAAGCCACGTCAGCAGGGACTGTTGATCCTGCAAGCCACTTTGCTGAATCTGAGCTCACTCATATATATATGAATTCGCTGAATCCGAGTTATTTCAATTGATTTTCATGAACAGAAAAAATGGGGAATCCCACTCTTTTAGTTGAATCTGAGTTTTCGTTGAATCAGAGTTAGTTGAATCTGAGTTCCACTGTACTAAAATGACACTATCCAAGATTTTCACCCGTCCAAGACTCAAGACAAGAACTTTTCACCTCGACCATTGGTGGCCGTCTTGAACAATTTTTAGCAAATACAGTCGAATCTGCCATGATGGCCACCTGTACAAGCGGCCACTCTCCATTTCCCCCCTTGCGTTTTTTCTATATATATAATTTAAAAGTGTAAAACGGTCACCTGTCCAACACGGCCGTGGCCACCTTATTTTGTCAACCCATGTTTACCTGCCTCAGATGGCCAGACGTTGTCACTCATTGCTCGACGTTTTGTCATAAATTTTGAATCGTCCCCTCACGCTGTGGACGGGCCATCATAATCCATTCACCTGTTATTATTGTCAGTCCCTCCAATGAATGTTTACCCAAGTTGACCAATGGGTAACAATAAATTTTCAACTGCTGGTGAGGGAAGCGTGTGATCCGTCATAACAAGCCCCTCTCACAACTCACTTACCCAAATCGTATGTGAGGTGACTGGTCACTGATTTGTTTACCTAATCTGTAACAAAGTAACAATGGACCTTGACATGAACTTGCGACAGCAGCATTGCTCATTCTCCGAGTGGTGGCGACCCCTGTGTTTGTTTTACCATGTCAGTCGGTCTTCAGCGTCTTACGATTTTCATTTGTTTCCCCCTTGCACAAAATCAGCAACAAAATAAAAGCTAACAAAAAAACAAACACCAACAAAACAACAATAACAACATCAAAAACCCTTCTCACTATTTCCCCCCCCCCCCCTCCCCTCCCCACCCCCAAACCAAGGAAAACAAAAAACCCTTTGATTTAGCCTAACGGCAGTCCTGATCCTGAAATCAGCCCCGCTGTAGACCTCAGAAGGGAATGGTTTGCTTTCAACATTTTGATCAGTCTTGCCTAAGACCAGTGTTATACTGCCACTTTTCTCTTTGACAAAGGGTGGCCGTTTTACACAAGTTTGACTGCACAAAGACCTAGAGTCTAGAGTCTAGTCTGAATTAATGTGCGTCGTGTACATCTCGCCCAAGCCCAAGTTTAACAAATTGTATACACACAGAACCTGAATATAGATATCTAGATATAGATAGATCTAGAAATCTAGATCTAAGAGCTGGATTGTGACAATAATTTATTGGGTAACAGTAACATGACATGTTGATGCACAAGCCTAGTCACTGTGTCCATTCGCTATATCAGTTAACAATGAGATTTTTCCTTACAGGACGGCAAAGATTATGAACATGATCTGAGTCATCAACGACACACCTCCTTGAGCGATAATTGGCATCATTCATCTGTCATCAGTTTACCCAGTATAAAAAAAATCTTAACAAAGTTCATGCTGATCACAGAATTCGTGTAGAATTCTGTGATGCTGATTCACCTCACCAGCTTTATCATAAATATTCGAAATTAATTAATTCAAGAATCAATTAAATTATTAAGGCATAATATGGGATGGCACGAGTGGGTCACAACTTTTAAGAGCTGAAGGAAAGTTTTCATATATATTATAATGTATATGTATTTATATGTTCATGTAAATGGAGAGGAGTAGATATATAGTAAGCTGGACGTATAAAAAACTGGAACAGTCAGCTGATCTCTGAAAAACGGTACACTGCTTCCACTGATTGTTTAGTAAGCTTATATATGGTAGTCTAACTACAAATAATTGGTTTTACAAAAAAAAAAAAATATATTTAAACAAATGAAAGTCACCTTAAGATGTAAAACATACAAACAAACAAAACTCTACTTACAGTAACTGTTGTTGCAATATAGTACACCCGCGCATATGGATTAGAATCAGGCAAAGCAAGATTATAAATTTTCTTTTGACTTTTCAACCGGCGGGTATGCATATAGGCCTGTGTCACTACCGGAACAATGATACACCAAGACCAAGGGTCAAACAAGCCTTTCTGGACCAGGGTATAGCGATAAGAAGATAATCCTTCCTCTCTTTCTCTCTCTCTCTCTCTCTCTCTCTCTCTCTCTCTCTCTCTCTCTCTCTCTCCCTCTCTATCTCTGTGTGTGTGTGTGTGTGTGTGTGTGTGTGTGTGTGTGTGTGAGAGAGAGAGAGATAGAGAGAGAACGAGAGAGAGAGAGAGAGAGAGAGATCAGAGAGAGAGATCAGAGAGAGAGAGAGAGAATGAGAGAGAGAGTGTGAGAGAGAGAGAGAAAGAGAGAGAGAGAAAGAGAGAAAGAGCGAGAGAGCGAGCGAGTGAGCGAGAGAGAGAGAGAGAGAGAGAGAGAGAGAGAGAGAGAGAGAGAGAGAGAGAGAGAGAGAGAGAGAGAGAGAGAGAGAGAGAGGGGGGGGGGGATTGAGGCTGAGGCCGGGCTTTTTACATGTTTGTGTATAAACATGATATTCATGGTCTGGAAGTGCAATTACTTGAAAGATACTATTACAATATATAATATATTATCTCACTTGCCCTGTTTAATCAAAGAGTTTAAAAAAAAATTGCCAGTAGATCTATGCTTTTGCTGCAATATTAGATATCCTACCGAATAATACCATGAAATATCAAATATGTAGACTAGTGCTAACCTTTCCAGCTATCTCAGTCCTGATGAGGCACACGCAGCGAACAAAGATAAACATGTATCGTTTACTTGTACAGAGTTACTTAAAGAAACTTATAAAATCCACAAGACGTCTAATGACATGAGAGCAAACAGAGGAGTTTGGAATATCATGTTACATTACATATTATTTCGGGGCGCAATGCTAACAGAGTCCCAAGACACTGGAGCTCCACATACTATTAAGCTATAATAATTATTATAAAAGGTGTACAGAGTTCCAGTTTCGTCAGGGCCTACATAACTTCACAGTTCATAATAATTATAGTCCGGACAACACTAAATGGATAACTTGTCGACCTCATTTCAGAGAAACTTAGTGGCGAATGGACCTGATTTTTTAAAATGTGCCTTTGCATTCCCAAAAACCCAAAAAGTCTCGAATTGTGTGTATATACGACAAATATAAAGAGGTGTTTTCTATATAATCACTAGTATTTAATTACAGTCTGCGCGGGGATTTTTTTTATTAGAACAAGAACGGTAGTTGAGTGTTAGCTTTTTTGCTTGTTTAAATCTACTTTCTTTTCTTTATTTAACTGACTGCATGTGCCACACGACTTAGTTGTTTTCAGTTCAGCGGTTAGTGGGTGACAGTGGGTTTATTTTGATTGACTAAATGTGATATACAATGAGTAAAATTTCTTTTATATCTTCCCAATCTTTGAGATCGCATGCGTTTCAATTTGTTGTTGCTTTTTCATTAAGCACCATGGTTATATTACTTAATTTACAACCCCCCCCCAAAAAAAACAAAAAAACAAACAAACAAACACGTTGCCTTAAAACTACTGAGCTATTAAATACTGAGTTGATATTGACCTGTCAGAAATGATGATGTTAATAATA